CCAGTCGGTCAGGCTGGTAGTAACGATACATTTTTTTAAAATAAATTTTGTTACATTTAAAATTATTTTTAATATAAGTAAAAATACATATTTAAATAAAGTGGACATTTATAAATTATTTATTATTTAGTTAAACATTGAAAAATTTTAAATTGTTCATATAATTAATTAATATTTTTTAATAAATTTATTATAAAAAGTACTATATATATTTATATGTGTTAAACTATAAATAAATTTAAATTCTGATGCAACTAATAAATCATTGAATAAATAACTTGATCGTTTTGAAAACGGTCCTCTCTCGAAAACTTTGAATTTACCGTACATTAATAAAGTTGTAATGCAACATCATCTTGTTCACATAAATATTAATAAAATAAAATATAATTTTTCATAATTGCTTGAAAATGTTATCACAAAAGCATTTTTAATAAGATTATTTGGAGTATGAACTACATTACATTGATTTTACTAATGTATTCTTAATATTAAAAATTATATTTAGTTCAATAATCGATTTGGTCTGGTCATACTGACCCATAACTCGATCACCCGGTATCAATTCAGTGTATATCTGCTCAATTTTTTAGAACATTCGATATCAGATGAGTATAGCATTCATTATATAAGTGAATATAAATTTCTATACTTATAGATCATTTGCACGGATAATTTATATCCACTTTTAGATTAATTAAAAAAGCATTTGATATATATTTGTTTATCAAATAATGAATATCAATGCTACAGATACTTTAAGATTCGATATACACATTGTTTATTACTTAAAGAATTTCATTGTATTGCCCGTAAATTTACATATTTAATTATATATATGCATATTTAGGACTCTACACATTTAAAATCATATTTCAAAAGATTCAAAATTATTTAATTAAATCAGAAAGTCCAAATATATATTAATTGCATAATTGAGAGAAATTATTAATTAGGACAATTTTTGTAAAGAATATTTCAATGCAATTTTCGATTAGCAAAATCGAACATAGAAAAATCTTATATAGAGATTAAATAACTAATATTTATGTTAAAAATCAGATTTTTAAATAATGTCTTCATACAAATTGAGATTTAAAAATATTATATATATTTTTCTTAATCGATAATAAATATTGATTAAAAAAACATTAAAAAAGACAATTGTGAAATCTCGATAAACATAAAATTAAATATCTAAACAATATAATATGTCAGAATTCATTCCAAATAAAAATATCAGCCACAAATATATTTAAATTTTCAAAGTAGATTTACTTCCAAAAGGCATGTCAATAGAATAGGGAAATCTCGATTTATTTCCGAAACAGATTTATTTACATGTGTGAACTGTACAACAAATGTAAAGTTTGAATTTTGAACTAATTTTCTATAAGTGGTAAGTCAAATGATTTGACCCAAAATTTTTATCAACTTTCCACAAATGATTTATTTACCTTCATCTTTCAATATATATAGATTCAAGTGCTGCTCCAACATTCCAAATTACTTCCAGAAGTTCTCATGAATTGGGCTATTCATTCTGGGCCCACTCTTTAATATTATGGACCTGAATTATTTGGCATATTGGCCCATGTAGGACTCTCAAATATTGAGCATTTATTTAAATATCCATCATTTGCCTTGAAATTGAGAAGGTGTTGGGCCGAGTATGGGGCTGAGTATGGGGTACCACTTATTCTGCGGGCTGAATTTCGTTTATTGATACGTCGCCCGTCGTTTTACTCTAATATCCTAAAAATAATACATAAAAAAATCAAAGCACTATAATCCATCTAATAAATAAATAAGTCGAAAAATATATAAATGCGATAAAATTAAGCATATAAAAATATGTCAATAAATATATAAAATACACACTTTTTCCGACCAATCAATTCTCCCCAAACTTAAACCGTTGTTTGTCCCCAAGCAACTTAGAACTAAAAGCACATAGATGGACAAGAAAACAAGTACGTGGAATTTTACTCAGGGCCTCACAATTCTCACATAAGTGTATAGTTCAAGCAACTCAAATTAATATATCCAGACTCAAGATGAAATAATTCTAGGAACTCAAACATATCAAGTATCAATTCAAGTGACCACCATAGTTTATCGATCTTTATAACGAATGTATCGATCAATGTAACTAGTGACACCCCTCCATTTGCTAACAAATTTAGTTTCTTTCCGTTTCTAGCCGAAGTCTAAATGTCTCGTTCTCCAAATTTTTTTTCTCTTTTCTTTCATTTTTTTTTTTTGTGAAGTATGAAACGCCAGCTCCATCACAAACCGTGGGTTTTAGCCTTTGGTGCTAGTCTAGATACGAGAGCGGGAAGAACGACACTTTTTTCGGCTCCAGCAGGTCGAGTATGGGGTACCCCCTTACTGGACTGTTCCGACTCTGTTTTCTCTACATTCGTGTTTCTTTCGTTCCTCGAGGTCCTCGATGCACGATTGGGTGACGCTTGAACTCATTTGACTCGTTGCTGACACGCCAGTCGGTCCATCTGTTTTGCCAATTGGCCAATTTGGCCTTGTAAATTCTTGATACACAGTCCTTGGTTCTTGATGCTCGCCTCAACATCTTGCTGAAATCTCAATGTGTTTTACGTCAATGCCTCCATCATATCCTCGAGCGATGGGCTGAGATCTCTCTCATACTGATAAGGTACCTGGTGCGAATAAAAATCGTGATAATAGGCTGCCATTCTCGAAAAGTTCTGCCAAACTCGTTAAAATCGTCCAAAGCTTAGTCAATCCCGCGAGTATGGAGTGCGAACTATTCTGTCCAGCAGAGTATGGGGGCACCCAATATTCTGCAAGAACATAAAAGAAGAAAAAACAAGGAANTCCTAAAAAAAACTCAATTAATACTCAAAAATCACAATTCAATAACGCCACTCCCCGGCAACGGCGCCAAAACTTGACCGCACGTCACTAACCTCCAAAATTCGACCAATCACCTACCACCAGCAAACATCAATTGACTAAGCTTTAGTGCAAAGTCATTTATTCGATCATGAACAAAACCTTGATCTTGGGCAAGTGATTTTAGACTGTATAAAGTCCTTTGTTCTTACACTTGATCCGCATTGAACCCTTCCTTTCCCATGCCTCATTTGGTCCTACTTTGTGTCTGTTGGTGTGCCTATGAATCCTCGTCTTAGTGATACTATGTCCGATCCCCGTCGTTCTCTTACTGTGAGCAATAGGACAGTCAATGAGTTATCTTCTTCAAAAGCCAAAGTTGATCTCCCTCCTACAGATGTTTCTACCAGATAGGATGAGTTTGTCTCCCATCATTTTAGTGCTTGTGACAAGGTGGCAAATGAAGTTGCTGCATAGTGAACCTACTTGAGGACACCGTAGAGTAAACTTAGGACAGGCCCTAAGGCATCCAGGTCGAAAAGAGGGAGAATGGTGATGAAGATAATGATGATGAGGACTCTGGCCAGTCGTGAGATGTTGTGTTGTTGATGCTGATATTTGTTGCTTTTTGTTGTGCGTTTCTTAGGTATGTAGTGAGATCTTTGGATGTAAGAACTTCTTAAAAAATATGGCTGATGTATTTGTTTTTACTTTCTACTATTGGGTGTTGGTTAAGATATTTGAATTATTGGTTGCTGGTTTGGGATGTTCGAACACTGGTTTTCTATGTTTTATTTGATGGTGCTTTTATGCAAGTTATTGGAACTGTCTTACTCGGTTCTGATTTAGTTTGTTTTATATGTTATTTAGGTTGTTAGGAATTATGTTACTATGATCCTTTATTTATTTATTTGGAACTTGCTTGATGTTTTTACACTGTAGGATGAAGTGTGATATGATCCCTTGTATTCGAACATGGGTGTTTTTGCTTGTTGTCTTTAAATTTGTTTAGCAGATCATCATCAAGATATTGGTTTTCGAACTGAATGCCAAAGATGAAGATAGTAAGGTTTAATTTTGGCAAAAGTTCGACAAATTAATATCTTGATGACTTTCTTGCTAAAGCAAGCAAAACAAATTAAAAGAGAAGATTTTCACTTTCTCTCTCTTGTATTTAATTAAGCTCCTTATTTATTAGATACTATATTTATTTAGTATGGTAAGTAATATATAGTAGTATCCTATTTATGTTTGATAAATTTATTTCTATAATATTTGTTCTATTTCGTGTAGGGAGGATTGCACACTTAAGGAAAGCAAAAGTTGGTCGTGATTAAAAGATCTTGGTTTCAATGTGAAGAAGATTGTGTCCAAGACTTGAAGAATTTTTACGGGAGCGGAATCAACTTCACATGGAAGGATGTCGTTACATGGAAATGTGAATGTTTCTTTTCACTGAGAAGTTTGTATATATGCATGCATGAAGATTCAGAGAATGGTTGTTGCAATTATCGTGTATTCATATTCAAGACATTCTCGGAGTGTTTGTATGTTTTGAGTTGATTTGTTCTTTGTTTAGTTTAGCAACAATTCATTGTGTGTTCTTATATTATTGAAGACTTGTGTTTGTTCTTTATTCATAAACTCATTGGGTGCTATAAGGGAGTCCTTGTCTTGTGAACCCAAGTTATACATTATGCGCGCAAACTGACCTATTAATGAAATGGCTTTGAGGGTGACTCTGAGAGATAGTGGGATACTCCCCGAAGACTATTTTGTTTATTCGTTGATTTCACTTTTAATTTATGCATATAACACTTATTGCGTACTTTACATTCTCCCTCATAATGTTTCAATTACTTTGTGTTTCACAGTTAAGGCTCATATGAATTGACACCACACTTTACACTTCCTCGTGTACTATTGTACGTTTCTCACAGTTATATATTTTAGTATTACCTATGTGCTTTCTACCATATGAAGAGTATTTACGATAAACGACTCAAATCAAAATGTTATCACAATTGAAATTAGTAAAATAATACGTTTCACATGCACAGCAACTAATATGTTCCAACAAACCTCTTTCACAAAAAATGCAGAAATTAGCAATCATTCATCAGTTNCACCCTTCTGTTTATCACATTTTCTGGTTCAACATGACAACATCAAGTTGGAGAGGCCAAGCGAATACAAAGTCTTCCGGCATACGAAATTTACCATATTTTCAAGGTAAGATTATTACAAGAGTAATTTTGTAAAATACTCGAGACAGAGATAGGTGTAGATGTTCAATTGCAACTTCCTTTATAGGATGAAGAACACACATTCTTACAAATGTCGCCACAAGCTATAGTAGAAATTCATAATTCACAGGTATTACATGATCTCCACTACAGCACGACCGATAATATTCCCCTGGTCAAGGTCCTTATAAGCCTCCCCAGCCTCCTCAAATTTGCACTTCCTTGAAACAGCTGCTTCAAGACTGAAAATCCCCCTTTCAGCCAGCTTAATCAATTTCGGAAGGTCCTGCCTTGCTCTGCCCCCATAAGACCCTATCACTTTAATCTGCAATACATACCAAGATTTAAGAGGTTTCAAAACAAAATGCAAAAATAGAAATAAATAAAACACTCATGGGTTTTGAAGACGAACAATGATACCTGTCTGCGGACCAAATGGTTTATATCAACCTCCCCTTTAGCACCAGAGAGCGTAAGTCCAATCATTACAGCCTTCCCTCCATCACGTACACTTTGCACGCATTGGGAAAATGTCTGTGTCCTTCCGAGAGCTTCTACGGCTATGTCTACACCCCTTCCTCCTGTAATCTCCTGTTCAGGTGTCAAATCCAAAAAGGAATTTCAGAAGCATATGATTTTACTCCAAAAGTAATTATACATAAATAGCTTAAGCTGAAAAGTGTGCGTAATCTGCTGTTAACTGAATTGAAAGATTGTTGCTCCAAGATCAGCTACCTGGCTAAGCCAAATGGCCACCTCAATTTTTGAGATGAAGCCTTAATACGTATCCCAGCAAACAAACATAAGAATGCAATATAATATTCAAGCTCTCCCAAGCATTAGAAAATTTTCTAGTGATGAAAGACTTATTATAGATTTTTTTTTTTTTTTTTTCTTTTATTTTCTTTTTAGTTGAAGAAGGTTAACAGCATCTTGGAGCCTGTTCATGTGAAAACGATCCTACTCTTCTAAGTCTGTCATGCTTCTTGATGGAACAAGTTGACTAATTCAGGGTCATTTTTTATCAGGTGTTAGTTGCTTGTTATTTACAGGATCTCGAATATTGCCAATAACTATGCATAAAATCTCCGCTATTCCAAAAAGATAATCCCTTTTTCTCGGGATAAGGTTCATAGATATAACTTTGAGCTTTGAGTTTTAAATATGTTTTTCCTTTTTCTCACTATAATCCAAGGTATATATTCTTTACTATTTAATATAGCAAAATTAAAGATATAGATTGTATACTTTGATTTTCAATACGGCATCTTCTTTCCGTGCATTTATAGCATGAGTGGCTCCAGATATCTTAGCTTTCTGAAGTTTCTCATCTTGAACATCTACTGCAATGATCTCGGAAGCCCCAAATGCCCTAGCTATCTGCAGACAACTGTTTGGTCTCTTCCAATTAAACTCATGCAAAAAATTGTGATCAAGTTCACAGTAGCAGCATCTCAGTTAAATAATCTTGAATAATGAGACATAAGGCATTTTCTCTCAATTAAATAATCTTGAACGATGAGATATGGAAAATTTTCTTTTAGAGTGCACTGGTGGCTGCATTGGCAGGCTCACAGTTCACATACTTTACGAATACTGAGTGATTATGAGTTATCTTTGGTCCCAACTCTGTAGGGTCTTGAATGATCACATATGACAAACACGTAAGAAAACAAGAGTCCAGAAAGTCTTCAATCTACCTTTACTAGTATGTGAAAAATTACTAAATCAATAATCTCTAATTCTTCAACAATATCTAATTCTTTACAAATACTGAGTGTAATGAGTTATCTTTGGTCCCAACTCTGTAGGGTCTTGAATGATCACATATGACAAACACATAATAAAACAAGACTCCAGAAAAGTCTTCTATCCACCTTTACTAGTATGTGAAAAATTACTACACCAACAATCTCTAATTCTTCAACAGTTCATAAAGTCCTACTACCTATGTCAAGGTTCAGTAGCAGGCCTTCCATAATACGGATTGAAGGCTTAAATGGTTGAAGCAAGAAAAGTTGTCAAAAAATCGTAAAATTTCAATACCGTATTTACTCATTACCTCGAACCAACACCCCCAATGCCAATTACTGCAACGGCATCACCAGGACGGACCTCAGCAGCATGAGCCATTGCTCCATAGGCAGTAAAAACTGCACATCCAAGTATTGCAGACTCTGTGTAAGGCAACGAGTTGGGTAGAACGGCTAATCCATGGGCTGGCACCACACAGAACTCAGCCAGGCCTCCCATGCTGTACATATAAACTGGCTTTCCTGTGGTACAAGTACATAGTAAACCAGAGTATCTTGTCACCAAATTTAAAGGCAATAACATCTACAATAAGAACACCATAGATTAATTACAAACCACATCAGTACATGTAAGCACAACTATCAACTTTCAGAGCAAGTTCTTGCTTACTCTAGCAAACCTGAGAGCATACTACATCGAATGGACACAAACAAATAGAAGAAAAAGAAAAATATATGTTTTCAGAGAACTTGGACATGGTAATTGAATCAAATATAGTATCTATTACAAATTTACGACAAAATTATTTAAAAATAAAAGGCTGGACCAATCTAAACAATCATGATCAGCAGAGAAGTTTTTATCCTCACGCAGTACAAGTGATTGTTTCTCTTAGCACTAAATGCGAAAACTGTTGCTTAACAACCACCTAAAAATATGTTATATACATATATAATATACAGGTGTGTGTGTGCGTGTGTGTGTGCGTGTGTGTGTGTGTTTGTGTGTGTGCATTCAAATGGATCAAGAAACTGTTGAAATAAGATATATAGAACAAACATGGATATGATCCAAGCAACTCCACATCTTCAAGGAGATCATCTGCAGAGTTTTAACAAATGCTTTTCAAGGCAAAGTTCTTGGAAGGGACGGAACGTACCACTACCACGGAGAAATAGCCTTGTTTCGCCGTCATAAAGTGTCCCTTTTGCTCGATTATAAGCGAAAAAAGACTCGCACAAGTCATCTTGACCCTGTTTTCATACAAGGCAAAATTAAGTCCAAACTCTAATTAAGTAAACTGCTCAGATCAGGATTTTACATGCAGATGAACTGATAAAACTTCAGAAGGCGTCTTCTGACAAACTTGCCTTAGAGCAGAAAAGACAGCTTCCGCAAGGCATTATGAAAGCCCCAACAACTTGAGATCCAACAGGAAATCTGAAATATTAATTTAAAACAGAACAAATAAGTAAATTTATTCCCTCGTTCCAGCATACATGAAAAAAAAAAAAGGGATAAAAATCCAATGTGTATTCCCAGCTTATGAAACCTTTCAATGATTTTACTGTCAGTAAGTGGCCCATGTTCAACCACCTCCCCGGTAATCTCATGCCCCACAACACAAGGGCTGGCAAATGGAAGCTCCCCTTTGATCACATGCAGATCCGAGTGACAAACTCCGCATGCTGCAATTGCATTAGTCACACGCAGCTATGAAATGCAAATGGCTCAAGCAAAATAATGCTAATGTGCTACGGATACTATAAAAATATGAAAATATTTATCTCAATCAACTTATTAATCATCACACATGACTAAATAACTTCACATTATTAAAAGACGTAATTTATGATAGATATGCATGTAATCATTCAAAGGTAAAACTCTTTCGATCCCAAACCATGTTGCATTGTGTACATAAAGAGATAAATTAAAGAAATAAAAGGAAAGACTCCTTGAGCATACACTAAGCTAACAGGCATGATTCCATCATCAATCCAGTCTTTGCTCCGCTAGATCATTCAACTTCTGATCCATATATAAGATACTAACAGCAAGGACATGCGAAAACACAAGCTTCATACATAGCACAATGCAAAACAGCTCAACTAAAAAAGTGAGCTCCATTAAATTACCCTTGGTTTTGATGAGAACCTCATTGGCTTTAGGGCGGGGCATGTGGAAATCTTCGAAAGTGAGGGGCTTATTCTTCTCCCAAAAGACCGCACCACGCATGTAGGACGGTCCGTTGCTGACGTGGTACCCCGTTGCTGACGCCGTTGTACTATTATCTTGTCCGGAGCTCGAATACCATCTCTGGCAATCAGAGTAATCAGATGAACCGTATACAAAGGGACTGCAGGAAGCTTGCACCGCGGCCCTCCGGCTGCTGCCTTTGGCCAAGCGCAGAAGAAGCGAGCTCCGGTGAAATGCCATGGAAAAAGAATACAGTTCGTACAATTCGTAATTGCTTATTTCAGATGCGATAAACTGCAACTGGAGAACTGTGGAGACAGGAAATATTAATTAGACGATCGAATCGCAATTGCAAGCTATTTGGCGAGTGAAGATGAAAAAGCAGGTAGCATTTGTCAATGTTTATCCTCTGGAGCCTTTTCTTTACTAATTTCCGCACCTAAGATGCTTATTATACTATATATTATATATAAGTTTTGTTTGGCTTGTCTTATATGAGTTTAATAGAGGTTTATATTAAATATATATTTATTAAATGTATAAAAGTGTATTGAAGGGTGATACTTTTTTATGTTAATAAGTAGTTTGACTAACAAATTATTAAATATAGAACAATGCTACAAGTACATAAGAGGTATATATAACACTCACATGGAGTGCGGTCCACTTGATTTTTTATTTTTAATAGGATCCACTCCATGTTAGTGTTATGTACACCTCTATGTACATGATTATGTACCTATCGCATTTTCCTAACAATAATTATTGGTGGGACCTACTATTTATGTGACTTAACAATGGTGAGCATCCACAATGCTTTTGGTTCAATCACACAAAATTATATGTCACTTAAGAATGAATCCAGTCTAAAAAAATATATTCCCCAATGCAATTAAAAGTATATTGGTCCTGCTAATGTGACAGCCAGAAAAAGAGATAGACCCAATGCATTGTAAATGTTGTGGGAAATTGTTGATAAGCCAACTAGGGTCTTTGCATTGAAGTGGGCTTGCCATGTAGTAATTATTGGCGGGCCAACTAAGAGTTCTACTTCTAAATGACTTAAACAAAATTTTTTCTACAACTACTTGGGTGAGAAAATAAAATGAGAAAAATTACTCGTTCATTTATAATTTTTTTTTATATTTAATAAGTTTTTGTTTTTAATTACAAATATACTGATTTCCACTATAAATGGTTGATTCGTAATTTATTTTTTTCATTAGTTTTTAGATTATATTATTTTTTTGGTTTATGATTCATTTATAAATGGTTTGTTTATGTTTTTATTTTGACTATCGTATTTTTTAAAAAAAAAATTCATAAAGTGTAGTAAACATTTAGAAGGGAAAAAAAATATAGTAAAATAAACTAAATATATATATATATATGTATGTATATATATATATATGTGTGTGTTTGTTTATATATAGAAGTTTTGATATTCACTTAAAATACTTTTGTTTTCCCACAAAAATCAAATATTCTTTTTTACTCTTTGATTTTTTATTTGCCTTCGGTAATCTTCTCTTTATCATCATGTAGGGATTTTATTTTTATTTTAAGTAATATGATATCAATAAGATCTAAATCTACTGATTAAATTCAAAACCTTTCATTAATTTTTTTTACTTCTACCTAATCTATTTTAATTTTAGTTTTAGTCATATAGTAAGAAACTCAATTGAATAACAAATGAATTTTTAACAATGTATAATAATAATATTATAAGAAATATAAATACATATATATATGATTTTATTGATTTTTTTAATAAATAAAATGAGTATATAATTTATATTTAATGAACTTTCTTTGTTACAACATCATTCGTAATAAAATGAGTATATAGTTTATATTTAATGAACTTTCTTTGTTACAACATCATTCGTTTATGATATTTAATAACTTATAAATAACATACTACAATAATATTAATAAATATGAATAATATCTCTACTCTATTCTACCTGAAACTGAATTTTATCGATGTGACGTGTGATAATAATTTATTGATATTATCTGATTATATTCATAATATATATATAAAAAAATAAAGTAAGTTAGATTTGATTTGTATTTTAAATTAAAATTTGAAAATTTAAAATTATTTGGTAGATTTAGGGTGGGTTTGGCTACTTTGACAGATTGAGTTTGATACAATTTGTTAACTTTGGGCCCTGACTTAGCAAGGCTTTTATCCTTTGCAATATAAATTTTGGTTGCATTTTTTAACATGTTTGATACACACGTCAATCCATCAATATTTCATTTGGTTTGGTAAATGGTGAGCGATATTAATATTTTTTTTTATTACATATTTTCTTGTCTTCTTTTTCTATCCCTGTCCCGGCGCCTCAAGACTCAACTCTCCAACAAGCCAAGGAATCCATCGACGACAAAACCACCATTACAACACATCTTTGGACGAAGAAATTTTTAGTCGCCGGTGAACTTCAATTAGAGATTTCATAGTTGGACTCTTCAAGCAGCGTGCCCTTGAAAACTAATTTTTTCTAAAAATCGCTAACAGAAGATCTAAACCAGTAAGCTTATACATGCCTCAATTGACTCCGATTCTTGCAAATTCATATTCCTATTAAGTGTGTTATTTGTTTATTTTTTTATAACTTCGGTTTGTTATTTTGTAAACTGAAATTCCTATTAAAGGTGTTATTTTTTGCAAATTTAAATTCATATGCCTCAATTGTTATTGCAAATTCATGCATATTCCTATTAAGTGTGTTATTTGTTATTTGTTTATTCCTATTCCTATTAAGTGTGTTATTTTTTGCAAATTCAAATTCATATGCCTCAATTGTTATTTTTTAAACTAAAATCACAAATTGGGGAGAGGTTTAATAAGTTAGGATTCTTCTCAATTTACTGTTCAGTGAACATTTGTTGGAATCAGATACAAAGCTATTTCGGAAAAAAAGAGAAACAAATCAAATCAATTGTTATGTTCACTGAAAAACTCAAACACTTGACTTGGTTTTGCATTTGAAACATTATTATCGTTTAATACTCTTGAATACGAACGTGTTGTCTAGGAAAAAAATACCATCTGTGAAACCTCAAACACGAAATGACGTGCTTGCAAATCTATTTCGGGACGAAGGGATGGAACGAAGATGAAGTGAATTTTCTTTTCAAACAACTTGAATATGAAGCACTTAACATCCCTATTAACTAAATTGTAACGTTTAATATATATTTGTGGCTTATTACAGGCCGGCTAATTGAAAATTTTAGGAAAAAAATTGCCATTCCAATGGTCAAACTTAGAGTGCTTAATTTTAGAGGCCAATACAGATCATTCGCGGAGTGGAAACAAATACCAAGCGTGTGCCACAATCTTAAGAAAAACAAAAGCTCTGTCGATGGAGTGTACTGCAATCAATTACTAAGGTATTAAATACATTACTTATGAATGTTTATTATAGCGAACAAATGATTGGGTTTATTTGTTTTCATTGATTTGACATGTTTTCTTGTTTCAGGAGACTATGAAATGGAGATTTTTTAGAACCTATGGGATGAAACACTTTCATACAACACATTTACTCTTCTCCACAAAGAATGTTGTTCCTATCGCTTCTAGTGATTTGGCACATAATTGAACTAGTCCACAAAGTAGTTTTTATTTGGGAAATTTGCAATGTCACTGGATTTGTAACAAAAATGAAGTAGCTATGAAACTGTTTGTTTTCGTAAGTTTGGTTTTGTCTCCGTGAAAGCTTCACTGTAATGTGTAATTTTGGGGAGTGATTGTTTTTGTAAGTTTGGTTTTGTTTAAGTGAAAACTTAATTGTATGTGTAATGTGGGGTGCTACTTCATAGCTTTGTACATTAACCATGGTACTTCAATAAAAACTATTGATGTTACTTCTTTGCCTCTTGGAATAAATCCAAGAATTTGTATTTGCATTTTTTTATATACATGAATGCATTTGAAATATCATGAATTACAGGAAGATGATTGTTTTCAAAAAGTTTTTACTGTGCCATATGTTGAGATGTGATAAACATGAAGATGAATGCTAGTAGAGATACTTGTTTAGGGAGCACCCAAATCTTGCAGACAATAGTTACCCAAACCATATGCTAAGAAATTTCTTAAGCAGAACAATAGAAACAACCTCATTCTTAGAAATTTCTTTAACTTTCGGAACACAAGAAACAAACATGTAACATTGAATGAAATACATGACATGCAAATTGTTGAAGCTAATTCACAAATCACTAAGAAAAGAACTCATACAATCAAAACAATACATTTCTAAAGAAATGGCAGCAAACATTCACACGAAGGCAAACCAAACATGGATTTTGTTCACTAGAGTTCGCCTAGGAGATAATAGCAGCTCATGAAGGTCGACATTTTGTATCTTCATCTCCTTCAGTTTTTTCATCTTCCCCTACAATTTCTCAGTTAACATTTGCAGTTGCACAATTTCGTTTTTAACTTAGTTCTCCAAAATTAATTTCTCGGACCCAAGCTTAAGGTAACAACATTTTTGAAAGAGCAACATATCATCATCCACTAAAAGAATCTAGATTCATCTGTCTTAAAACATGATGAAAGCTTCTAAAAATATTTAAAAACAAAAACATAAAATGAGACTTATTTGGATGCACGCAGCTTGTCAGCACTTACATTTCGGAGTTTACACCTATGGTAACTCCTATATGGATTTTCTTTTCCATGTTATAGGTAAAAAACTGAGCCTTCAAGTCGTGGTAACAACTTCTTCTCATAGCTTTAGAATTTGCATTACTCTGTTGTGATTTCTCCATTGATGGTGTCCAACCACTTTCCAGAGACATTTGTTTTTCAGTGCTAGGTACTGAATTAGCACTCTATCACAATGGTATGAATATATATTTTCTACAAAAGCAATGTGAAAAGGAGCATCATGTATTTGTTTGCTAGCTATTTAAGGAAACGAGACATATATTCTTCAAGAAAGATGTTTTGTACAATTTTCTTGTTTAGTAATAAGGAATATATTCTGATTCTTTTATGGATGTGTCTTTCAGTCAATCTAAAATCAGCTTTAAGAATCAGAATCAATAGGTTTTGGTTTTTTCAATTTTTAGTAATGAGGAATAGATTCCATCTTCAACGAAATTGATATTTCGTTGCTATGGTAACATGTTTACATACATAAATGTTCGACTTCTTCCTCATGCAAACTATATAATCAAGCATCATCAAGTGAGAATCACAAGCAACATAACAACTTACAAGTTTCATCCTTCACAATATCTCTTTCTCTTTTTTCGTTTCTCGAAGGCTCACCTCAAAATGGCTCCAAACAAAGTTTCAAAATCTGCCATTTCCCAAATAATTTTTTTTTTTTTTTTTTTTAATTCTGGGGAATGGACTAGGCAATAGAAAAGAAATTCGTGGCCGAATTGGTAGCGCAGGCCTCTGCCAGAAAAT